AAAATAGAGACCTAAAATTTTGCATATGAATTGAGTTTTAAATGATCCTTGAAAAGGATGTGATTTGAACTCCTGAATCTACAGACTGTTTTTCAGTTTTACTGCCTACCATACATTAATAATATGTCACATGCATAATGCCTTTAGCTTAATAATTATATGTAGGAGAGGAGTGATTACAATTTGTATAAAATGCGGTTTACATTGGAAGTTTTATGGGGAATCTCTGATAATTTTTCTTTTCTTTCTTGAATCAGTTTTAATTTCCTTAGTATGCTATATAATTAGGACAAATGCCAACAACATTTTATAGTTTCATAGCAGATTAGACCATATCACATTGGATGAAAAAAGGAAAAAATAAGATCCTGTTTTTAAATGACTTAAATGTTAATAGCATTCATTAAAAATAACATCAAGTCAAAATTCATATACAAAGTCATCACCCTGCTTTTTACCTCTATTTCAAAACACTTATGCTTTTTAGGGAGGACAATACTATTGACAAGTGAATGTAAGACTCCCAGATTACTGTTTGCTTCTATTATGCAAAATAGAGGAGAAGAGAAAACCAGATTTATATAAGTGCCTCACAGTTGTGTTTCAGAGATATAGTGAGAGTTGTTTTTTTTTTTTTTCTTCAAGGATAGGTTACAATGATCATGCAGTCTTTGGAACTGTTGGTGAAGACCATGAACTTGCAGTCAGGACATACTCTTGAAGCTTTATTTCGGTCACCCTCCAGTAGTATTTAGGTAGGACTTACTCTGAACCATCCTTGGGAGGAGTTGGCAGTCCCTGGCTGTGTGGCATTCTATCTACCCTCAGCTCCCACCTCCTCCATGAGCTGTGTCTCTTCCCTTATCTATCTCATTGCTACTTTGCTGAAAGTGAAATTTGCTCAGTTGTGTCCGACTCTTTGCAGCCACATGGACTATAAAGCCCATGGAATTCTCCAGGCCAGAATACTGGAATGGGTAGCCTTTCCCTTCTCCAAGGGATCTTCCCAACCCAGGGATGGAATCCAGGTCTCCTGAATTGCGGGCTACGTTGGTAGTAATGATGAAAAGATTAGGGATGTATTTGGTCTGTGGAAGTAGAGCCACTGTTGCCAGACTGAGCTGGAATAAGATATATCTATTTTCACACTGAAGCAATTACAGTAATGAAGGTTAATAATTTCTGCTGTTTTTGATGTCTTCAAAGGAGGGTTTATTTTGTGATTCCAGTGTTCAATACACTCTAATATGAATGCCAATATCTTCCAACATTCCTTTTGATAGTTGAAGATACACTTAAAGCTGGGGTTCCAAAATGCCCCAGATGATTGAGGTTCTCAGTTCTGTGGCTGTGGGAATTCTATCACATGGCAACGAGGGAGATTGTTTTTCTATGAAGTTGATGTTACTGTATAGCTCAGAACACCCTCCCTGTTCCAGCAGTACTTACTTTACAAATAAAATCTGTGGTTTTTCTTATCTCAGGCTTGGCCTCTTTCTTCATATATTCAGAATATATAAAGAACTCTTACAACTCAATAACAGAGGAAAAACCTAGTCTTTAAAAAGGCAAAAGGCTTGCATAAACATTTCTCTAAAGAAGGTATGCCCAAGAAGCACAGTGGTAAATTGTTTGGTACATGAGTTTTAAAAATGTTAAAAAAAAGAAGAATTGAACAGAAATTTTAGTACTGAAAAATACAGTAACTAAAGAGCTCAGTGTGGATTAAATAGTAGGTTAGACAAAGCTGACTAAAGGATTAATGAATTGAAAGATAGGTTAATAGTGATTAACAATAATTTAATGACCACCTATACTGATCAGTAACTTTAAGTGAAACAACAACCACAACAATGTTTCTGGGGTTTTGGTGCCCAGCTTTAAAATCTTTCATATAACAACCCTATACTATGTAGTGCAGGAACAACTCAAGCAACCATTTATCCTGGTCAGAGGATGTCAGAATACTGTTCTGCAGTGGATGAAAGCACTATATAAAGATGATATGACTACACATGGGTTGTTTGCATAAGTGTCTAGTGTGAGAGGCATTACGAGACTGCCTCAAAGGAACAAAACAAAGAAGTAAGAAATGGATGAGATTTTTTTCTCTGATAATTGTTGCACCTGGGACCATCTCAGTGCCTGTTTCAGTTGAGTGTTCCCTCTTTTTACTGTAAATCACATTTTATACCTATTTGTGAGTCATGTACTTTTTAGTTACATGCTGCACATTGTGTGTGAAGTAGGGACTAAAATAAACATTTACACCTAGTAAAAACAAAAAAGAAAGATGGATGAGATTTTTGAAATGAAGCACCAGACCTTGTTTTTAATAATGTGTTTTTTGGTAGTAGATATCCTACCTTCTAGCTTTTTAATTTTTTGTGTGTCAAATACATCTCAGAAATCTACTTGAATGCTCAGTTTTCAGCATGATATATACATGGTATTTATGAAAAATCTGAAGATTACTCATTGGTCCCCTTCTAATAATAAATATAAAAGTAGAAATCTTATTGAAACATTGGCACTTAGAAATCCAGAGACCTTACATACAAAAGGAAAGCCAAATATTTGTGGTAGTTAGTCACCATTATAAATAGATTCATAGCAGCAAATCAAACGTAACATTAAATCATTCTGAAATGAAAGTAAGCATTCTGTAAAAATATGAGAGAAGTACACGGAGCAGAAATATAGTTCATTTTACGTGGATATTTGAAGTAGGTGTTCTTTGAATTTAATGTTTCTACTTAATATTAACATTGAAATTTTAGTTCACAGTGAAAACAACCACTCTGTAGGATTCTGCAGTTCTTTCTGTTTTTCACGAAGTAGCCAGTCTGTCATTATTCCCTAAGCTTAAAATTGAGGGGGAGTATGTATTTAATACCTCATAAAATAGGTAAAATTCTCCATTCTAATATTTTAACCTAGGGATAACTGAAAACATAAAATTGATCCATGGCAAAAGACTTCCTTTCTAACTTTACTAAAAAGGAATACTCAAAATAACAGTAACACCAAAATCAGCAAAAAATAAACACACGTACACATTAAATTGGCCCTTCTGCTAATGCAAAAGCTTGTTTTTCAAGATACTTTTTTAATTGTTCTTTTTCTTTAAGAAATTTCCTAAAAGTCAGTTGCCTTCGACAGTAGAGTGTTTCTCTCCCACTCTGGGTACCTCTCATGGCTAGCTAGAGAATTTGACTAAAGTTCTAGGAAAACCAATGGCTTTATGTTTCTTATTCTGAAAGCTTACTGAAGATGGTTACCATAAAAACATGTACATACCTCAACAGAAGCAAATGACCACATCTATAAACATGGGAGTACTGCAGAAAGACTAAGGAACTGTATACAGAGTGGCAGAAATTTTTACAAATTATAAGGTGACTACACACTAAAAAATATACATTTCAAGGGAGAAATAGCAGATACCAACAGTGATTATTCTAAAGTAAAAGATGAAGACAGAATAAATGTTATAGTAAAAATAGCACTCTAAAGGTCATTAAAAGGTGCTTTAAAAACTGATTTAAGCATAAATACCATAAAAAGGAATTCACCTCCCTTTCTATTTCTTTCTCATATGTCAGCCCCACACCTGTTTCCAGTGTTCATAAAGCCAATGCTCCAATGTTTCCCAAATCTTCAAGCTAAAACTCTCAAGAGGTCTTGATCTTTTCCCTTAATAAGAATGTGGTAAAATCAGATTGTTTGGCTTCTATTTGAATTCTGCATTTCAACTTTCTCTGTTCATTGTGGAAAGGGAGAGACCCATGTCACTGCAGTCTGCCCAGTGACATACATATTGGACCCTATTTTTTCAGTGTACCATAAAATAGCACTGGGTAGTATGTCATTGGTTCTTCCCATTTCCAATAAATACAGCACTAATGTGCAGCATGTCATTGCATTTCACTGCTTACACGCCTTCCTCTCTTGCTAGACTGTGAGATAATTAAAGATAGAGGATATATTTTTATTGCTCTCTAAGTCTGTTTCATCCAGCATAACACATGGCATATCACAGGTGTTCAATAAATATTTATTCCATCAAAAGTAATCTAGACATTCTTGCAACTGAACATATCTACTATGTTTTAAACTCAAGTATTTTCTTTTGAGTTTTATTTCAGATTTGCCTTTTATTTTAAAGGCAGGCAAAAAAAGCAATCCAAACTCATTTCTCTGTGTTAAGCTAACATGGACATTAAAAAAAAAATAATACGACACTATGATTTTCACTAAACCAGGAAAGGTTATTTTGGAGCGCTGGGACTTTAGATATTTGAAGTAGTAATTACTTCCTCCATAAATGTTACCTTTAGAGTCAAATACTGCTTTCCTGTTGCAGTTCAACTTTTTTATTTAAAGGAAAATGTCTTTTATTCACAATTCACTGTACTATACTACTATATGTGGTAATTCTTCTTTTCATTTGTTTTTGTAGCATTGCAAAGTCCATGAAACATCATAATAATAATGACAGTAGCTTACACTTTTTCAGTACTTTTTCCATGCCAAGCATTTTACCAAGCACTTGACATACCCACACAAAACTTATCATATGTGCGAAATTATATACCTATCTCTACCCTTTAATCTATCCATCTATCTGTTTATGTATCTATCTATCCATCCATCCATCCATCCATTAATTTTCCCATTGGTAAGCTTTGTAGTCAAAATAATAATACATGGAAAATCATCTGAAGATTTTCATTCTTGTTTCTTTAAAGTTCTAAGTATCCAGCAACAAAATTTAATACCATATTTTGCGTAATTTTAGAGCAATGACCCATTTTAGTAAATGGGTAATCATCTATAAAACAACAAAAAATAACATTTGTTGGGTTATAGTTAAACATTTCAAGTCACTGCAACTAAGAATCCAAGAGTATTTATTCCAAATTGAATAGAGGAGATGTCAACTCTTACATGACGATCATCAACACTTCATGTTGAAACTGTTATCATATATAACTTACCGTAGACTTGGGTTTGGTTCCAGAACTGGCCACTGGGGTGGAAGACTGTGGGTCAGTGGACTCAGTGTTAGAAGACAAATTTATTTGTGTCTGATTTATCGAAGTGGTATCTGTTCCACTCTCAGGTCCTGATTCCAGATCCTATTAAAAAATACATTGATATGAAGGATATGTCCACACTCTCTACATGCCTTTGTCCCTGCCTCCCACACATTTCCACCTCCTCCTTCTCCTAACACACACAGACACACCACATAGTTATGACAACCAAAACTGACCTATCACACATAACCATGCACTATTTTGTATTAATGATTGTCCTCTTCAGAGGGTCTCATTTTAGAATACAAACACTGAAAAGAGGTAATACACTCCTTTAGTAACTTAACAGCCAATTGTGCATTAGAAAGGGCAGTAGTGGTAGCTAGCTAGGATACTGCAATAAGTTGGGAGATATTAATATAAGCCCATAGATGACCCTGGCTCACTGTGTGACCCTGAGTAACTTGCTTCACATTCCTCGTGCAATGGAGTTATGGTGTCAAATGAAAAGATAGTTCTCATTTCTTCTCACCTCACTCGCTTCTATGTTCCCCTTAAATCTCCATGGTGACACCTACCATCATGGCCTGGAATCATTTAGCTCAAGTGTATGTCTATCAAATGAACTAAAAGCTATTTAAGGGCAGAGTTACACTTTGTCATATGTAATTCAATTCCCTCATTTGAAAATGAGTATAATAATTGCAGGCACTCATGAAGATAATGAAGATTAAGCAAGATAATGCAAATTATATGCAACAAGCACATATTCAATTTCATTAAATGCTAGGCATTACTGTAAATAATGTTATTATTAATATCATTATGTTTTCTGAGCAACTAGTGCACAATATGTGGATAAGACATGCCTGTTCAATGAACGCAATTACTCAGTAATCGCTCCAAAGGTTGTGCCTTTAATTTACTAAATGCTATCTCCATGTTATACAGTAGCCTGAGAACACAAAGGCAAGGCAAGGATGAGGAGAATGCAAAGGGTGGTGGGGGGAGGGAAGTGAAGGCATACATCACTTTATAATCTTATCCTGAGAAAATTATGATTTAAATATCTTTGTGTCTACTCTTTCTACATCTCAACTTTACCAAGGCCCACATGCTTAAATACACTCTCTGGTCTCATGTTCTATCACTCTCTCGTTGCTGTGCGCTTCCGCTATACTTGCTGTTTGTCAGTCTTTCTCGCACACCAAGGTGGCTCCTATAGTAGCAACTATGCCCTTTCTAATCCCTTGCTCAAGCACTTTCCCCTGCTGGCCCTTGTCACTCAGCTCTCAGTTTGAATATCACTTCTTCAGAGAAGCATCCTTTGACATTCCAAGCTAAAATAGTTTCTTCCCTTCAACCTCCATAGCATATCATTCTCTGTTTTACAATCTTTTCACCTTGTTTGTCTACCATATATCAATTTTATTCATCCACCATCTCTACCTATGTATGTATCATCTATCCATCTTTCATTCATTTCTATATTCTAATCCTTTTATGTCTCCCTTTATTGGGAATCTATGTATCGCCAGAGCAGGGGCTTCACCTGCCTTGTTCACTGATACATTCACCAGACTTATAATAGTACCTGGCACCTAGAATATGCTCATAAACATTGTTTTATCAAAGAATAACTAGATTGACAAATATTAATATTTAACCAAGGGCTTCCCTTGTGGCTCAGCTGGTAAAGAATCCGCCTGCAGTGCGGGAGACCTAGGTTCAATCCCTGGGTTGGGAAGATCCTATGGAGAAGGGAAAGGTTACCCACTCCAGTATTCTGGCCTAGAGAATTCCATGGACTGTATAGTCCATGGGTTTGCAAAGAGTCGGACACAACTGAGTGACTTGCACTTTCAAAGAGGCACAACATCTCTACATTAGAATTTATAAAACATTGATGAAAGAAATTGAAGAAGACACAAATAATTGGAAAGCTATCTCATGCTCCTGACTTGGAAAAAATAAAATTTTGAAAAATATCATGCTACCCAAAGTGATGTATAGATTCAGTACAATCCCTGTCAGAATGCCAATGACATTTTTCATAGAAAAGGAAAAAATTAATCCTAAAATTTGGATGGAACCACAAAGGACTCTGGATAGCCAAAGCAATCTTCAAAAATAATAACAAAGCTGGAGGCATCACATTCTCCTGTTTCAAATTTTAGTACTATAGTAATAAAAACAGTATGGTACTGGCACAGAAACAGACACAGGGATCAATGGAATAGGATAGAGAGTCTAGAAATAAAAGTATGCATGTACAGTCAACTAACATTCGACAGTGGGGTCAAGAATACTCCATGGGGAAAAACAGTCTTTTCAATAAATGGTGTTGGGAAAATCAGATATTCACATGCAAATAAATTAAATCTGACCCCTGTCTTATACCACTCACAAAATTTAACTTCAAGTGAATTAAAGATGTAAATGTAAGATCTGAAACTGTAAAACTCCTATAAGAAAGCAGAGAGAAAATGCTTCTTGACACTGGTTTTGGCAACAATTTTTTTGGGGTATGACACCAAAAGCACAAGCAATAGAAACAAAAGTAAACAAATGGGACTATATCTAACTATATGGCTTCTGCACAGCAAAGGAAACAACAGAATGAAGATGCAGCCTATAGAATTAGGAGAAAATATTTGCAAAACTAATATCAGATAAGAGGTTAATATACAAAATATATAAGAAACTTATACAACTTACTAGCAAAAAACAAATCTGACAAAGATGAGCAGAGTGCCTGAATAGATATTTTTCCAGAGACATACAAATAGGCAACAGGTACATGAAATGATGCTCAACATCACTAATTATCAGGGAAACGCAAATTAAAACTGCAGTGAGGTATCACCTCACACCTGTCAGAGTGGTTATCATAAAAAAGACAAGAGATAATGAGTGTTAATGAGAACGTGGAAAAAAAGGGAATTCTAGTACTGTTGGTGGGAATATAAATGAATATAGTCACTATGAAAAACAGTATGGAGGTTCCTCAGAAAGTTAAAAATAGAACTACATATAATCCAGCAATTCCACATTTGGGTATACATCCAAAGGAAATGAAATCACTGTCTTGAAGATACATCTGCACCCCTTTGTTAACTGTTATGTTATTCACAAAACCCAGGACATGGAAACAACCAAAGTCTCTATTGATGGATAAATGAATACAGAAATTTGGGATACACACACACGCACACACACACAATGGAATATTGTTTATCTACAGAAAAGAAAGAAATTCTGCCTCTTCTGACAACATGGAAGGACCTAAGAAGCATTATGTGAAATGAAATAAGAAAACCACAAATACTATATAAATCTCACTTATATGTGAAATCTAAAGAAGGCCAAAACAGAAACAAGGTAGAGTGGTGGTTGCCAGGGGCTGGGAAGTGGAGATATTGGGGACAAGTTAGTCAGAGGGTATAAGTTTCCAGTTATAAGATGTTTAAATTCTGGGGATCTAATCTTCACTTTTGTGACAGTATTAACATCACTCTATTATATACTTGAAAGTTGCTAAGAAATTAGATATTAAGTGTTCTCACCACATACATACACACAGGCACACAACTGTAATTATACTAGTTGATGGATGTGTTAACTAACATTATTTGGTTATTATTTTGCAATTAAAAACTGTATCAAATCATTACATTGTATACCTTAAATATGTTATATGTCAACTATATCTCAATAAAACTCCAAATAGAAATTTAAAAAGTGGAAAACAAAGGAACTGTATAAAATACATACAAAAGAACAATAAATATGAAACAGAATACAACAATGTTTAAGTATGTGTGTGTGTATAAACATATAACCCTAACCAAATTTCTCATCCCTGAGTGATGTCAGATTAAGGGCTACATATTCTTTTCTTTTTTTTTGGCATGGAAAAAACATTTTATATTTTACCATAAGAGAAAAATAATGTATTAAAATTTCATATTGAATCAACATTAAATGGATAGTCATAAATAGCAGGTAATTTATAAACATCAAATGCATAATCCTAAGTAGCAGGTAGTTTTTAAGCCATTTCTATTTGACATTTATGTTTATCAGAAACCATTTGCATTAAATTTCCTTCCTGTTTATGAATTAATTAGGTAAATAAGAGGGTAACCTTGCACCTTTCTAACAATTTAATAATTCTGAGGTAAAATAATAAATATCTTAAAAATCCACAACTAACTGTGCTTTTACCATTTATAGACAATACCGTACTGTTCCATGTTCACAAACTCTTTGGAAGATATTATTATCATCACCTGATGGATGATGAAGCCAAAGCTTAAAGCAAGTAACTTGACTAAGTTCACAGTCTGTGGCAGGACTGACATTAAAACTCAGATCTGTCTGACCCTCACTTGTCCGGCTCTATCAGGTCAGGCTTCATAAATGTTAGCTCTACCGTTATGAGCCTATTTGCAGTGCAGGAAGAGAGATACAGACACGGAACAGGGGTGAGGACATGGTGGGGGAGGTGGGCGGGATGAATTGGGGGACTGAGATTTACATACACACTACCATACACTAGAGAGATAGCTAGTGGGAAGCTGCTGAATAGCACAGGAGCTCAGCCTGGTGCTTTGTGGTCACCTAAACGGGCAGGACTGGGATTGGGTTTGGGAGGGAGGTCCAAGAGGCAGGTAATACGAGTGTACATATAGATGATTCACTTTGTTGTACAGCAGAAAGTATGCTCCAATAAAAATACCCTTATTTTATTTTTAAAGCCATTCTTTACGACTCCAGCTCATATTATTTTTTTACCACTCCCTTTATTATGGAGAATCTGCCTGCCATGTGGGAGACCTGGGTTTGATCTCTGGGTTGGGAAGATCTCCTGGAGTAGGGTATGGCAACCCACTCCAGGATTCTTGCCTGAAGAATCCCCATGGACAGAGGAGCCTGGAAGGCTACAGTCCACAGGGTCGCAAAGAGTCAGACATGACTGAGTGACTAAGCACACAGCGCATTATATGTAGAACTCACTCTAACCTTTCCTTATAAATAATTTCAAACTGAGGTCACTGTTCCATTGCATGTCTTCCCCTCCCTCCTAAGCTGCAGATTCACAGTGGAGTATGAGGGTGTGTCAGAGGCGGCCTCTCCTCTGAATCTGGGACAGAGCTCCTTGGTGGACAGTCAGGGTCATAATCATCTGTTATAACCCACTTATTCCATGGCACAGCTATCAAATGGAATGGAAATCTCACTCGGAAAAATTTTTGATGATGAGAGAATGTTAAAATTAGCTTTAAAGACCAAGGAACAGAAATAAAAAGGGATGACTTAGAAAAACACAGAGACCAAAAAGAAATTTTGAGGGATTCAGGCTCTGTCTTATTCATCTGTAGCCCAGTGTCTGATGTGAGTGAAGACATGGGAGAAGGAAAATGAATTAACAAATACCAAACATGTAGTCTGTATCAGATCTTTGAATGCATTTACATATCTTGTTTCATTAACTCCTCCCAACAAGCCATTAAGTAGGAAACAATCTCTCCTGCTTTTACGTGAACTTGAAGTTGAGAAATTAAATACTTTTCTTATGTTCTCAGACATTCAGTTGCAGAGCTGGTATGTGAACCCAGGCCTGCAGACTCTAAAGTTTATTTTTCTACTGTATTATTGGGCTTATTTCAATTATCTGCTGAACTAAAGACTCAGAAACACATTTTTATTTACAGAATCTACCACTGCTCAGCAAGGACAGTGATGGTCCATGAGACAGTGCATGTGATATAAAATCCAGCTTACACTTGAAATGGAGGGAGAAGATATAGATGTAGGCAAATCCTAATCATCACCCACCTTAGCTCTTGTTTTGTATTGTCTTTACCTTTCAACAAAGAACCACATGTAGCAGGTAAGGGTTGTTTTGCTCTCTGAGCTGGAGACAATAATATGGAGTTTCATTTAGCAGAAATCTGTGCTGTGCTTTTTATCACTAAATACCTAGTACTGAGGAAAGGTCAATATAGAAGGAAAAGAAGAGATTAAAGAGATAGGGAGAGATTAGCAATTCATAATAGAAAACTTTAAAAAGAGAAAATATATCCCATTTATACATTAATGGCAAAAAAAAAAAGTACTGGCATGCATCTCCTATTGAAAAATAGGGATATACATTTATTGAAAATGATGAAAATGAGCACAAAGTGAAATGGTGAAAATGAGCATGAAGCTTCTCTACATCTTTCATCTGTAAACAAGGTTAAAACACCCTTCTTGATGGTCTTCAGGAGGCTACTCTTGTTGTGTTTCCTTCACTTGGGTGCCTCTCCTACCGAAGTATGTGTGAGATACTATGGCACCAGGGGAGGAGTAAGTGATTCTGTCTGGGAAGACATATGGAGATTTAGGGAAGACTTCACTGTAAAGAAAACATCTGAGATGAACCCTGAAGGATAAGGAAAAATTATCCAGAAGGTTACAAACAAGAAGAAAAATGTCATTTCTACTGACTTTCTAGGTCTAGCCTGAAGTATTTAATGTCATGTTTTTTTCATTTTTAAATTAAAATTGTTTTTTACTCAAGGTATCAGATTCCCATAATAGACAGCTATGAAAAGAAGTATGGGATAGTGGTTGAATGACATGGCTCTTGTACATACAATTACTAACGTCTCTATTCTTTTTACTCTGAACAATGTTATAAGGAATGAATGTGTTAGCATACGTAATGCACACTATGTAATGCATTCATATATACTAAGGTTAGCTACTAATTTAACTTGCTTATTTTCTGTGAAATATTCTGTACCACAGTCAGAATAAGTCTTGAATAACTTCATAATCAACAGTAGAACTACACAAAATAATTTGATACAGAATAGTTCTATTTTGGTAGGTTCTCAAAAGGGCTTCATGGCTTAATTACAAGTAAGTTCTACCATCACATTTGTTAGATATGCAAAAACTAAGCCATTTAATATGAACATAATATTAAATATGTGAAGTGTATAGACATTTTGGCATCTATGTCTTCTAAATTTTATCTTGGGTGTTAGACTCTCAAAAGAGAGTCTATCTTATATGAAATTAATGCACAGTAAAATAAAGTTTTCACCTCTTTCCTATTTGTTATGTTTCACTGAGTGAATTTTAGAGTGTTCTCAAGTTGATTTCAGCTAAATTCTTTCTTGTAATATGCTGAGTTAGTTCAATCAGCATTCATTCTTCCATCCATCAACGTGCCTACCCATCCACCCATCTACTTGCCCACTCATCCACCCACTCATCCATCCATCCAATTATTCATCCATTCATCCACAGATATTTATTAACCATCTTCTATATCCAGTGTAAATTTGTGGGATACTGGACATAAAATACTAAACAAGATAAACAGAGCATCACTAATGGTGTTTACAGTATATCAGAGAAGTCTGACAATAAGGGAAACAACAGTAATGAAGAGAATCTGATCACTAGAAAGCAAAGTAACTTCCCAAAGTGACCCTCTTTCCTGTCTAATAATAACCATTTTCCTTTGAATCACACACGTCTCTTATGGACTCTGCGTGAAGCCTAGAATGATTTGAGTGATATTTATGGAACACAGGGTCACATGTGGGTAGATTGGGCCATCCAAGAAGTGTCATTCTCAAGAGGGACTCTGCAGATGCGGGGACACATTCACACGCAGAGAAGCGGGAGGTGGGAAGCTCACAGGGACTTGCCGCCGCAGGTTGGTTGGTGTGCTGGACGGAGAGGAGCTGGAGCTGAGGGCGTTCTCAATGTCCTGATCCAGCTGGTCCAGTTTCATGATCAGCAGCACCATCGAGTCTAGTCGCGCCCTATCTCGATCTTCTCTTATTTCCTGAGGAACAGAACATGCTGTTATTGAATCTGAAAGGCCATTTCTTGGAAAGAATAAAAAGTTCCCTGTTCTTCAATGGGACACAAAGGACACACGAACAGGCAGTCTTCTATTGAAGGGGCAGGAATGTTCTATTCTGTACCATCAATGGACGCGTCACTGGGAAAATACTGACCTCCTGCCAAGAGGGCATTTTTACAGGAATATTAAATATATATTTTCTAGAGCAAGGCACAATGAAAAAGAGGCATAACACCAATGATACTGAAACATTTATTATTTTCAGAGTATTTTTGGAAAGAGTTGTATATTTACCCTTCTTTTGTCAAATCAATTATACACACAAATCATTTATAACATACTAACAATTGTTTTCAGGTTAGACATTTAAGGATGTATATAAGATAATAGTTTTGGATGACTATTTCTGAGTATAGTAAAAATAAAGGAAAAGAATCAAACAAGGCAGAAATTTTTGTTTGTTTTCTTTTTTGCATGAGGCCACTTACTGCTTTTTCAACTTATGTTATTGCCAATATTCATTTTCAACCTTCTTTCACACACTTTGGGGGAAAAAAAAAGCCTCTACAATCACATGAATTGTGGTTACTTACTTTGAATTCTCTATAACATAGACATATATTTATGAAAATACTTTTTCTTATAAAAATAGTTAAGCTTCTCACTGACCATACAGAGTTATTTGCACATGACTGTTTACTATTCTTGAGTGTTCAAGTCATTAGTATTAGGAAACTTTAAAATGTTCTGTAATGTGCAAAGTATCAGGGTTGGGCAGAGTAAAGGTAAATGAAATAAAAACAAAACAAACATGAAAGCACTGTAAGTTTCCTTAGAAGCAAGATCCATTGAGAGGTGTCATGGACTCAGGACCAGCCTTTTGGAGGTAAATCGTCATTTGTGACTCATGTTGCCATTTTCTCATCTGTCTAAGATATTTACCTGGGTGAAATCAGCTTTGAAAGGACCATCAGCAGTGACCTCAAAGGGAAATGCTACCTGATGAAAGACTGAAGGGTGTGGGTACAAGGGAGTAGTTAGGAGGTTTTGCTAAGGGGATGGATGAGTAGTGGCATGAATGAGGTGACTGTTTGAATCAGATCTTTGATTTTGTTTTTGGACTTTTTCTTTTAATCATCCTAAATTCCCTAATCACCATTAGGGCAGACCCCAAAGAACAAGAACTAGGGTAATTGCATGGAGTCATCTAATGTCACTGGGGTCTGTCTCTGTACTTCACACAGGTAAAGTAGACTGTTAATATTAACAATAACTATTTCTCACAAGTCAAATAATTAGTTTATTAGATTAAGTTGGTCAAAAAATCATTAATTCAGCTACCATTAAGAAATTATTTGGGTAAGCTGAACCTGTGCTTGGTTTAAAGTTTAATGTCAAACTGAAAGACTCAGTCCCACTTCCATAAAGACATTAATTTTCAGAATACATTAAGAATTTTTCTGAGTTACGTTAATTCCCTCAGAGTACTATACTGTAATTATTTCTTCAGTTTCCTCCCATCATCTGTGTTGTCTAAAACATTTAATGAGGCTCTGACAGAGAATTATAGTCATAATTCTCTCTGGTCATAAAGTTTCATTGTGCTTTAAGAAGGGCCAGGATATTTGCAACAGATCTGAACATTACGTCATATTCCTCAATGCTACAGAACTTTGTTATATTTTTTTAAAATGTTATTTATAGTAAAACCCTGTTTATACTTTAATAAGAGTCCCAGAAATATTAAAAATTTTAAATTCTATTCTAAATAATACAGAAAATGGAAGAATCTGCCTGAATAGAAGACTCAAAATCACCTTAATTACTCCCTCAATGTATTTGCTTATATAATTTCCTTCTCATTTAAACCAAACTTGTGTTTGGCAAGGTAATGTTCTTTGCATATCTCTATGTTCACGTATGCTTTTGTATGATTGTCTTTCATTCACCAGTCATAACATCCTCAAGCAGAAAGATGAGGTTTTTTTCCACCAAGCAGACACAGAGTCAAGTTTTACACTGCATATGCAACACTTTTACAGGAATAAAAATATTAATGAAATCAATAGAAGCCAGTGAAATAACATTTCCTGGAGTGTTAGAAAACATGTCTTAATATTTTTCCAGCTACTAAGTTAACATTGGATAAAACAGTATACCCTGAAGCTATCCTACCTATCAACAGTGGACTTAGAGACAATTTGTAGTAACTGGATGCTGAGATTGTGCTTTAAAAACTTTTTCAAGTCTGTGGGCTGAGCATTGAATTATTATAAATGACCTGCCAAAAGAATAAAATCAAGCAGCCTTGGTCTAAGATATTTCTTTAGAGAAATAAGCTTATTGCACTTCCCTTTCATTCGTGGATACTTCCTTGTTCATCATCTATTACAATGTTCAGCCTGAAATATAAAGTACACAGACTAGCATCAAACATTACACATTAAACATCACAAAATAGCGTTGGCTACAAATCAGATGCGTTGGATAAATCTTTTCTACTTGTTGTTAAAGCTCAAGTATGAATATTTTGCAAAGTTCTAACTTTTCATATGTCCATGGCTAAACTCCAGCAAATAGCTCATGGCTGAAAACAAAGCTGTGTGTTTGCAGATTCTGGCAAGGTTGAACTCTACAGCAGAGCTTTCATTTCATGCTGTCACTACAGGCCAGGGGAAGAGGAACTTCTTAATGAGCGAGGCTGCCTTAGTTTAGTTCTATGTATTTCAGTAACTTAATCCCCTTAAATCAAAGCCAAGATGTGAAATTTTCTCCCCTCCCACCTTTCCTGCAGTCACAACTGTTCTGTGAAAGGGAACAAAACGTTCATCAGTGAATAAGAGATAGAGAATCTCTGCTGTCTTCAATATTATAGTCAACATGAGAAGACATAAGGAAAGTAAAAAAAAAAAATTCATATACATAGTTTCTGATAGGAACAAGGGTAAGAAGAAAATAGATAGGGTAATGAGGTATACAGTAACTGCAGGGGAAGTGTCCCATCTGGTGGAGTGTGGTCAGAGAAGAGCTTTCTGCCAAAGTGAGAGTAAACCATGATGGGGATGGAAAAAAAAATGAGGCAGAAGAGAGAAAGACAGAGACAAAGATATAACTGGAGAGAGAGAAAGAGAGAAATAAGGAAGAGAGGGAGGGTGTGAGGCGGGGAGGGAAGGAAGGAGGAGAAGAGAGGGTAGTAGAACTGGGAAATCAGTGTTCCATGCAGGGGAAAGAGTGATATGAGGATGCTGAGGTGAGAACAAGTTTGGTGAATAAGAGGAAGTGAATAAAAGTTAGGAAAGCCAGGAGAGGGAAAGTGAGTGGGAGAGTGAGTGGGTGCTAGGAAAAAATGAGGCTGACCATAAACAGGGGCCAAACTATATTCTGTTATGAAGGTCACTGTAAGGAGGTCAATTTTATTCTTTATGTAGTGGGGCCACGGGAAGGATATAAGCAAATGAGTGATTCAGTGTGTTTTTTAAACTTGCAGACTTCTTGCCACATTTTGACAACCAAATATTTTTGGAACCTCATCACATTTTATGTCCAGCAATGCCACATGACTAATACAGGTGAAATAGTTTAGTTTATCCTAAGATGATTCTTCTAGTTCTAGCCATAGTCCTTTTTTCTGCTGAGGTCCCAATTTACAGTGATTAAAAGAAATAATAGAAATTTTTATAATCAAGTCCTATACATTTTGAGATCAAAGTGAAAAAGAAGTAACTGTTTAGGGATCCTATTTCTTGGAAGTAGGGAGTGAGTGAATGTCAGAAAATCTTTAGCAACTGAATCTACAAATAAAAAGAAAGCCCTAATTTGTAGTGTGTGCCGACTTTTCTGTAGTGTAAATACATCCATGGCCAATTTCAAGCTCCCAGCTAGACATTACTGAATGCAGTTTTGGGAGAGATGCACATAGTTGGCGCTTATGGTCTGTGGTGAGTTAACGCATAGCGGCTCCAACACACACACTAGGAGTGGGCACCAACTGGATGGAGAATCATTCTTAGAATCTGACTTGAATGGAAATATTGACAGTTAAACCAACAGCTGTAATGAAGGTGTAGTCAACATAATCATATATTGAAATAATGCATTTTATTTATTTGATGCATTTACGCACCCTAATATTTCCTTCCATTGCTCAGGTAGAGTTCAGTATATATTGTAGGTTTAAATTTAATGACCTTCTGGAAGGATCTCTTTTTTTCTGGTAGTGGCTCCTTTATCTACCTTCTTGGTATCATCCCTTATCTATGTTTGCAAAATTCCCTAAAATGTATTATCATGAGCATATCTATTTGTATTTTTACTTAAGTAAGTTAAAATTCATTTCTTTAGGTTACTCATTATATCACTTGGATACTTCATTCAACACCTGAGACTTTAGAAACCTACAGGTCCAGGACAGTGGTACCACTGTCCTGACTTTGCAGATGAGCAAAGTGCTTCCAGCGAGTTTCAGGTCCCGGTCGCACTTCCGTTGGTAAAGTGACAGGCCGAGAGCTGGCTCTCCCTGTGCCTGTCCCAGTCTCTTTCAGCTTTGCTTTCCTTCCATGATTAGTTTAGTAATCATCTCCACATCACGTGTACTCTCTTCCAACTCCCACAGCCCAGTTTATATTCCTTCTAACATATAGAAACTATGTTTTGGAAGAACGCCAATGATCACAATTTATTACAAGATATCTTTGAAGCATCTGGTTCAATTCTTTATACTTTCATTTAACAATCATTCAAGAGGTGTTTATTGACCATCTACTGCATGCACTGTATCATTTCCTAGGTAGCAACTGCTTTCATATTTTTACAGTATAATTTTTAGAAATACTGGTGGTGTTGTTCAGTTGCTAAGTCGTGTCTGACTCTTTGCAACCCCATGGACTGCAGCATGCCAGACCTCCCTGTCCCTAACTATCTCCTTGAGTTTGCCCAAGTTCATGTTCACTGAGTTGGTGATGCCATCCAACCATCTCATC